CCCCAAAACCCCAAAACCCCAAAACCCCAAAACCCCAAAACCCCTAAAGTCCATTTCCACATAACAATTAAATATTCAAATTAAAATGGAGGAAAAGGATAGATTTAAGCGAGCAGCAACAAGCTACAACCAAGACCAATACTTTTACCAATACAAAAGACAAAATGAGGAGGAAAAATATTCCAGTGAGAACACGAGGGACAGAAATTTGTTGTGCCCAAGGCTTCATAAGGATCAACAGCACCCATCAACTTTCCATTCCGCAATTAATCCCTTGGAGTATTACCAAGACGAAAATGACACTAGTCGTGAAAACCAACTTAGCAAGCTCATTGAGCAGAATCAGAGAGAAGATATGATCGAACCTGATGAAGAGGTCTCCTCAGGCAGCGAAGACAATGACATTCAATACAGTGATGACTCCCAGAACGATAAATCTGAATCGATGTCCAACTCACAGTTGAAAATGACAGGAGAACAGCATAATGAAGAGTTTCCTCAAAATCTTATCCAGGAAGATGCTGATCGACTTATGAACGATATTTCTCAAGAGATGAACAGAAATGATGGAGCGAAGTTCAGTCAAAAGTAATCTTATGATCTAACCTATAGAAAAACCCGGGCTGATAGCTCAAAGGCTAATAATTTAAAAAATTTTAATGAGAGGAATAGCTATGATGAACAGCTAGATACCTCTCGAGAGATCTATGTGAGTGATGATATGAAGAGATCTCTCAATAACGTCATGGAAGAAACCAACGAAGATGAAGAGCTACCTCATTACAATTACGATAATCACCAGAGACCTCCCAGAATGACCAACCGTGCATCTTTTGGTCAACCAGATCAGACTGAGAGCGAGAAATATGACATAAAATCTACACCGAACATGGGTAGTCGGAAGAAAAAGCTTATTTCTGAAAAAGAAAATTTTCATTCTGGCCCAAAGAGCCCAAATCCTAAGCAGTTATCTGATCAGACTTTAAAGAATGAAGATATAGATACAGATATTGGACTCAATCTTTCTAAAATAAATATGAAAGACAAGAAATTCTCTGATCTCGTCATCAGTGGCAAGCTCAATGGAGATGTTCTTAAAGAAAAGATCATTAAAAATCAACAATTATTCAACGAGTACACTGGAAGTTCATCTAAGAGGGAACTTGATGACCCCTCGAGAACTCAGGGGGTCACTGGAGACGAAGCAGACCCAGAAACATTCGAGCCCCCTACTGGTGCTGAAGAGAGCTCCAGAATCGAGGAGCCTCAAGTGATGTACTCCAAACAACTTGCTGATGAATTCATCTTCAGCAAGAGAGATCAAAGCTGGAGGAATAATAAAGTTAATAGTTCATGCATTGTCTCCAGTAAATCTCAAACTGATCTTGGATTCAGGAGCGATAAATCTACCTTAAGGAACCCTGTCTACTTTCATACTGTTTTCGGTAGTGTTGTTGAAAACATAGCTGCCTTGGAAACTGACATCGCCAGAAACTTCAGAAATATCAACAATAAATTTGGCTCTCAAACAGGAGAATTCATGAAGATAAAATCTGACTTAGAGAGCATTCTTGAAAATGTGCAATCATTTGAAAACCGAATCCAGTCCATTAGCAACAGGCATGGCTATTTCTCAGAAAGACTTGACAAGTTTCAGGAGATTTGTAGCAACTTAGGAAAGAAAGATCAGCAAAAATTTGATCTAATCACAAAACTCGAGGAAGAATTCCACCAATTCCAACTAAGCAGGATAGAAGATAGCAGCAGAGCTGAGATCCTCAACAAATCCTTCTCAATTGGTAAAGAATTCGAAGCGAAATTCCAAGAGCTAGAGTCCAGGCTCTACAGTATGGAATCGCAAATCTCAAGCACAGACACAAGGACCAAGAGACTTGAGAGTCAAACCCAAAGACTGGAGACTCAAACTCAGAGGATAGAGGCCCAAACACAAAGATCTCATAACTCTGAGTCTAAATTTGAGAGGAAATGTGAGCAGATTGAGAACAATTTTCACGAAAACCTCGATAGGATCTACGACCAGATAGACTCAGCAAAAGTTGAGATCAAGAAGGAGATGTTCGAAGAGCTCCCTAATTTTGAAAACTTCAGAGATATGGAACACCAAATACAAACTCTCAAGAAAGGATTCTCCAACTCTGAACAAAAGCTACTCAGTGTCGAGAAAGAGCTTAAAAATGGGATTATCAGTAGTGAATTAAAGGAAGATCTCTCCCAGCTGAGAACTCTCAGCTCCAGCATTGGCAGAATCAACGATGCCTTCAAGGAAGATGTATTTAATCTTGAAAACAAAATAAAAGAAAACTCGGTGAAAATCCTTGGGACTCAAAATGAATGCACTGAGATAAAATCCTTGCTTGATAAAAACATTTCAAAAATTATCTATGAGACCAACTGAACTAATGATAAAGTACAGAATTTAGAGACCCTTTTAGGAGATGTTTATGACGTTGTAATAAAATACAACAGCCAAGGGAAGAAGTCTAATCTTCAGCAGATAAACCAGTCAATGATGTACAATGACAAAGAGTCTAAACAGGATCTTTCAGCTAGCTTTATCTCTAAAACACATGAAAATATGATCTCTGGTCCTCTCAACAAGCAAGAGAGATTTAAGATCTATGACCAATTCACCCAATTCGATAAGGCCATCTTCGGTTGCTTGGCTTTGATCGAGAAGGAAAAGATGGTCATTGACGGTATCCAAAAAGGTATGAAACAACTTGAAAACAGAGTCAAAGAGAATGAAAAGCATATTTCTTCCATTAAAGAAGCATTAATTCAGATTCACAACACTGGCGGCAAGGTCAAAAGAAAGAACTCTGGTGTCAAAAAGATAGAGAAAGACCTCATGGAAGATATGGTCCACAAGCAAGTCATCAAAAATTTTAAAAAGTTTGAAGAAATTCTTTCTAATCTGATAAATTATGAAAACAAGTTTAAGGATATGGATAATATGATGCAGACTATTGATACTTTGGTCAAGGAAAGGAATAGAAGAGATACTTTTGATAGCTTAGAGCCAGATAAAAACATGACTGGCAGAAACACTAGCAAAACTAACAACAAAAACAGCTCAGACGAGGAAGAATCCTCAATAGAGAGTGGATTTCAAAAACTCAGAGATAACAGACCAAATATGACAAGCGATTACCACAGAAGTCCTGAACTTGCGAAGATGGTAAGCGTACCTCAAAATGGCAGAAGCACTGCTTGCCAGCCTACAATTCGAGAATCCCCTCACAACCTTGTCTGCGAGAGTAAAATACAGAGTGCGAGCTTACGTAAGTCCTCTATGCCTAATGCTCCCTTCTACAAAAACACCCGTAACCTCAACAAAAGGTCAGTTGGCAGTACAAAGGTAAATTTTTCTCTAACCCCATAGATGAACCGCCACTACAGCACAGAGCGTAACCACAATATCAACATTCGTGGCTGCTCAGACATCTCCCAGACGAACAACAGTTGCTTCGTGAACACGCCTGGGCAGTTCACTCCGTTCCTGGCCGATGGGCCTTCGAGACAATCCAACCAGAACAACTATACGAGGTACACAGGAATCAGTTCCAATTCTGAACAGAACTCAGGGTTCATCGACCATACTCAAATCAGAGGGCCTGAAAAGTTTAAGTAAATAAAAGTTCTCAATATGAAGAAAAAGATTGGGGTTTTGGGGTTTTGGGGTTTTGGGGTTTTGGGGTTTTGGGG